CTCTACCTACCTACCCTTGCCTCCCAGAGGAAATCTCTTATGTGGCAATAACCCAGAACAGACTTTTATAGTCTGGGTCTGAACAAAATGACTTAGGTGACTTTCCAGTTTGTCCAAAATTCTACATTTTGATGAATGGAAGAAAAGTTAATTTGTCACATGTGATAACATGAGGATGTCAGGGGCACATTCTCAACACTCACTGTTCTGCTTTAAGCCAGTTGTATGGTGATCCAAGCCACGTGGACATTATTGTGATTGCTTCGCTCTAAGCAAACACTGCATAGCAATGCCGTATGTAGCATGCAACAACATGGGTATCAAACTCAATGCTGCCTTATTGGCTATTTTTCTTTTTGACTTAAGCATACACCTTAACTCTTGCCATTTTAGTGTGTTTTTGTTTATGATAATTTTTCTGAAGAATTGTTTGTCTAGGTCTTGGGCCAATTTCTGGGGAGATTGCAGTGTCCCACTTCAATTCTTAGGCTTTGATTCTCTTGGATGTTTTTCCTCATTCCTTTTTGTTTACACTTTTAAGACTATTTTTTGCCTTCCAGCTTTGTGTTTTTAACTTCCCAAATGGTGGTTCTTTGGATGTTACCAAAAGCTAGATTTTTGGGGGGAGCAACGTTGTAATTTTTGAAGTGATCTTCAAAAAAAGGGTTGATGAAAGCCAACTTCACCCATTCCCTGTTTCCAGGTCTTTTGGTTGTTTTCTTCACTATTCATTCTAGGACATCAGTGTTGCTTATTGTAGGAGATGGTAAATACTGTCTGCTGGAATACATTGCCATTTTAAAGAGGATTTGTGTATTTTGGGTTTGAAAGATACAATTTTTTTGAGACTGGATAATATGCTTTGTTGCCTATACTTTCCTGGAACTCATGCTTGCTCCTTCCTGGTTCAGGCTTCTAAGTAGCTGGGACTACAGGTGCATGTTGACTGCTGCTGTCAAGATCATCTACTTTAAATTTCCCGTTATCAGCCAGCTTGATATTAACAGATTAAGTGCTACAGGTAGAGATGGTACCAAGAAGTACATTAAACTTAGAATTACTCCTTTGTGCTGGCACTTGGTAGTATGTGATTCAGGATAGAGTTGATGGAATTCTGCCTCCATTTTTTAAAAAAATATATTTTAGTTGTCAATGGATCTTTATGTGTGGTGCTGAGAACCAAACCCAGTGCCTCACACAAGCTGTCTGCCTTCATTTTTAAAAAATGTCTTAAAATGTAGGTCTGAACTTTTAGTGTCTTGAGTTTGTGTCTGGAGACCGAAGTTTCTTCAGTTTAGTTAAAAGTCACATGTGGCAGGAAGCCCAGAAGAACTTGCTACCATTCTGAGAGAAACCAGTTGGCCTTGGTGGTTGTCCTCTTGTGCCTCATTATATTGAATCCGATCCATCCTTGAAAGCCCAGGCAGGCCTGTGTTTCCCATCTCCTCACCTTTAGTACTACTAGGTAGCCAACTCAGTATGATGGCAATCTGAAAATTAACTTCCTTCTAGATTTTACTACTTTTGACAATCAATCTATAGTGAAAACTATTAGGTGATACCTATCATTTGGATTTAATAGTCTAAAAGCACTATAAGATACTTATAGTGGAGAATCATGAATTTGTGTCCTTGTGCATGCTTGAGTTTGAACCCATTGTAGGCAGGTCTCTACCATAAAGACCAATAAGAAGCAACTGTTCTTCCTTTGTTTTCTGTCACTAAGTAGATAAACTGGTTCAGGAGGGTCTGAAGATCACTATGTACTTTGGGGACAAGTATATTTTTCTTCGGCCAGTCTGCTGAATATGGATGCTTAATGGGCTTAGTCTTTAGCCAATGCCATTTATAATTCCGCAGGCATTTTCTTTGGTGTTATCAGTAAGCCAAATACCTACTTTTATTGAAAAATTATGTAAATTATATTGTCAATCTCTGAAAGGAACCAGTGGATTTATCCCACAGAGAAGTTTCTTAATGTTTTAGGTGTAGATGGATACAATACCTTTATTTTTGTCTAGTGCTGAGGCTGAGGATTGAACCCAGTGCATCACACATACTAGGCAAATGCTCTACCACTGAGCCACAACCCCAGCTCCCACATAGAGATTTTTATTTATTTGTATTTCAATTCACTTTTGGTTGCTAAGATTGCCCCCTTTGACCCTTCTGAAGCTACCTTTTGCCATCACAGACCTCTCTGAGTTAGCAGGAGACAGGCCTCAACATAGATGACTATTCATACTAGCCTTGCTTAGTTACTAGGTTCCATTAAGTCCATTATCCATTGCTGTACCCTGAGTGCCTAGCTGAGAGCTCCACATATAAAAGATTACTCTTTGATAACTGCAATCAAATTATAGGTTTGACTTGCTTTTTAGTGTGAGAAGATATTCCATTCCAGGTTCATTTTGTTCATTTTCTTAGACTTGGAAGGAGCTATTTGGCATTTAGGACTACAGTTGGGAGTATTGCTTAGGTACTGGGTTCTGGTTGGCAGGCTGGGATTTGGAAAATCAGGGAAGAAATATGTAGAATATATTACTGCTATGTGAACACATCAAATCCAGATAGAATTCATTTAAGACATGCATATGGTGAGTAGTTTATTGTTAGCGTATCTTTACACCTGTGAAAGAGTTTGAAGATGTAGAATAATGGAGAAAAGGAATAATGTGAAATGAATAAATTGTAGTCAAAAGATTCTGGTTAGATGCTGCTTCAACTTTAGGGAATAATCTTACTTCCTCATTAGAAATTGTGAAGAAAATAATGTGAAGACAATGTAAAACCAGAATTATTAGTTAAAAAACAGCTAAAACATTTGGAGCTTTAGTATATGCCAGATGAATTTCATTCTTAATTCTGTGACCCCATGGAAGTTTAGTGTTCTGAATCGTGTTTTGTAGACAAGAAAGCAGTCTTGGATTGCTTGCTAGAAGTGAGAGAAACAACATTCAAACCCAGGACCTATGGCTATGTTTCTACTGAGAACTGTGTCTGGACTTCTTGGTCAGTCTTATTTGTGTGGTAGAGGAGATTGATAAGTTAAGATCACAGAACCCTTTAAATGGAACAATAGTTATACTCCTTCCATTAAAAATTAATAGAGATAGTAGTAGTATAATAGCATGGAAATATGATCTTAGCCAGGAGTTACTAAACACTGTCTTGGGAGGCCAGAACCAAGCCTTGACTCATATTTTCTAATAAAGCAAGATCAAAGGTGATGGCGATGGCTCAGGTCCAGTGGGTCATTTCAAACTATCTGGGGATTGGTTCATTTCCAGAACTTGGGAATTAGTAGTAACTTCTGAAGCCTAGTTCTGTCCATGTCTGTTGATGGTGGGTCTTTTTTTTTTTTTTCATCCCTGGAGATGAAACCCAGGGATGCTTAACCACTGAAACCCACACTCAGCCCCTTTTTAAAAACAGGGTCTCTTTAAGTTGTCCAGGCTTACCTGAAATTATAGGGATTGCTGGACTTATAGGCATGCACCACTACACCTAGCTCTGGTGGGTCATTTCAAACTATCTGGGATTTGTTCATCTTCATTTAGTAGTAACTTCTCAAGGCCAGTTCTGGCAGAATATCTGCATAAATTCAGTCCAGCAGCTTCTTGCAAAGACTTTGCGGTCACTTGGTACCTAGTTTTGTAAAGGTTCTCTGTACTTGACTCCAGGGCTGTTTAGAATAGCCTTAGCATTGAACAGGAGCTTAAAATAACTCGCAGGGAGGCTTGATATTTGGAACACAAAATACTGATAATCGGATCTGTGACTTGAAAATAGCTCTGCTTGACAGCACCTACCTACTTTATTATGCTTGAGTGAGGGTGGAACTCTGAACCATAGCCGGTGACAGAAGGCTTTTAACCACATAGTCCGAATTCCTGAGTTCTTCATTTTGAGCTTGCTCTCTAGTTTCTTTTCCTCTGTGACCTGTTTTATCTGTCCTAGTTTGAGCTTGGTGGCAGCAATCTCTAAAAGGGGTGTGAGTGGGAAGGACAGGATTTTGCGGTTGGTGGGCACCTGCGGAACCAATCTTTTGAGGATCCTACCAAAGGAGGCAAGTTCCTTAATAGCACACAAATGGAAATAAATCTTAGCCCGGTTGGGAGGAGGCTGGAAGAGGGCCTAGAGTGGTCGCTGACCAGAGTCCTGCTGGCTACTCCAAGTATATATCCCTCACAAGCTGGAGTTGTAGTGACGCCTTGGAGCCGCTAGGTGGTAGCCATGTGTTTCCAAAACTAGCTCGCTAATGCAAGAGCCCAGCTGGGATCCCAAGAACCGACCCGGAGCCCTGGAGGAGGAAGAAGGGAGAGATGACCCGGAGCCTTCCCCACTTCCAGCGGCAGGGAAAGAAGAGAGGAAGAAGGCTCACTTAGCGTGGGCATTCCGCCGGGAGGGTGGCTGGGAAAATCAATATCTTGTGTGGACTCCTGGCGGGTAAAAGCTGCGTCCCTCAAGTGGAGCTGGGGGCTGGGCCTGACCCGCCCTCTCCCGGTTCCCCACTCCAACGCTGGTGGGTGTGAGTGTGAAGAGCAAATATTGGTGAGTGAGGTCGCTCGGCACCTAACTGCGTTCTTGGGAACCGCTCTCTGTTCATTTCGGCCAACGTTTGCGCTGTGGCGCGGGTCACTGAGCCCAGGTGCAAAGCTCCGACGGCTTCCAGCGCTCACCCACTCCAGCCTCTTAGGTTCTGCCCTTCGGAGCTGCGGGTCCCGTCGCCGAGAGTGAGCACCTCCCCTCCAACCCGGAGCCACCAGGAGAAGGAGGAGGAGGCGGTGGAGAGGCCGCGGCAGGCTGGCGAGCAGGCAGGGCCGCCTTTGATGTGGGCGCGGCGCACCCAGGCGAGCTGAGCGCCCGTCCGGCCGCGCCCCGAGGGGGGAGCCCCGAGCCCCGCATCCTCATTGTGCCGGCTCGGGCCCGGGCCCGCCCCCGGCCCCCCGCCCCCTCGCCGCCCGCGCGTAGAAAACGCCCCGGCCGCCGCCAGTGGTGGGAGGCGACGATGCGCACGGCCGGAGAGACGCGGAGGAGGAGACATGAGCCGGCGGGCGCCCGGACGGAGCGGCCGTGACGCTTTCGCGCTGCAGCCGCGCGCCGCAGCCCCAGAGCGCTGACCCCTGGCCTCGCGCAGTCCCGCGCCCCGGCCAGAGAGCCTGCCCCAGCTTTTATTCCTCTCGCGCATGCTGCCCCCGGAGTGAGCCGGGCACCAGCATTCCGCGGACGCCTGGACGGCTGCCGGACAGCAGTGAGCAAGCTTCCCGCACCAGCCGAGCGCTTCCTGCACAGCGGCGGCCGCCCCGCAGCCCCCGCGCCAGCCCGGAGGGCGCAGCGCTCGGGAGGAGCCGCGCGGGGCGCTGATGCCGCAGGGCGCGCCGCGGAGCGCCCCGGAGCAGCAGAGTCTGCAGCAGCAGCAGCCGGCGAGGAGGGAGCAGCAGCAGCGGCGGCGGAGGCGGAGGCGGAGGCGGAGGCGCCCGGTCCCGGCCGCGCGGAGCGGACATGTGCAGGCTGGGCTAGGAGCCGCCGCCTCCCCCCCGCCCAGCGATGTATTCAGCGCCCTCCGCCTGCACTTGCCTGTAAGCGCCCGCGTGCGGGGCTGCCCACCCTGCTTGACCGTCTGCCCGTGTTCCCGCACGTCTGTGCTCCTGACTCCGCCTCGTGTCTGTCTGTCCGAAAGCCCCCTCCCTCTAGTCCCACTGACCACCTCTCCATCTCTCTCCGCAGGTGTTTACACTTCCTGCTGCTGTGCTTCCAGGTACAGGTACGTGGGCTCCTGACTTGACCCCCCCCCTTCTGCCTCGCGGCAGAAGCCGACCCCCCTCGCCGGGGCCGCGCCCCCTCCGGGTGCCCCACCCTCCCGGGCGCGGAGCCCAGTGCACCTGTTCCCAGGGCGCGAAAGGGCGGTTCCGCGCGCTCCCTGCGCCGCTGGCTGATGAGCCAAGGGCAAGGGACTCTGCTGTCGCTCGTTAGCCGGCGTGGGTTGTCGCAGCGCCTGTCGGCCTCGATTGGGATGAGATCCCTTGGAGCTAGTGGGCTCAGCCCCAGCAACGTGCCCGACCCCAAGACCCCTTCCCGAAGTCAGCGACGAGTTGGGACTTAGGAATTTTCTCTGCCAACTGTCCTTAACATCGCCGTTCGCTCTTCCAAACAAAAAGACTCCTTTCAGTTGAGAGGATTTGGAGTCCAAGGAGAGAGCTGCAGTTGTAAATTACTCTGTGGTTTCAAAGGCGTTTGTATGCGAGAAAAGGAGAGCAAGAGCGAGAGCACCACGAGAGAGGGAGAGAGAGCGCCGGGTCTAGGTCCCGCGGAGGCGTTGGGCGGCTTGGTTGTCCGCGAGGCCGCTCCGGGACAGGCGGCGCTCCGCACGCCCTGGCCCAAGGTGCTGCAGCCGGCGGCTGGTTCCCGCCTGCTCCGCGTTCACTCTTGCTCTCCGTGAATCAGAAGAGGGCTTGGCGCTCAGCCTGGAAAGCACTTGCTAAAATCTGATCTGTTACTTCAGCAGCTTTCAGACTCGGGAAGGTCTTGGCACGCAGACAGTTGGAACGCTCTGGCTTCCAAAGCCGTGGAAATGAAGGAAAAGGGCGGGGGGAGGGAAAGAGGGAGCCGACTTCAGGCCCGATTAGAACCAGACCAGGGCTGCCTCGGCATGGCGGGGTGGGGGCAGAGGGAATGGGAAGCCCAGCTGCCTGAGCCCCCACCCACCTAGAGCGGCCAGAGAGGGGATCTGGGAGGAGCTGGACGCCGGCCAAAAGAGGATTATCTGCCCCTTCCCCCTCTGCCTTAAAGGCAGGTGTCCCTATAGGGTTGGGAAGGTGCTTAAGCCTGAGCCTTCTGGGCTCTGGAGATGTCCAGAGAAGGCCTCGCACATGGAAATTGAAGTTCCCAGATTTCTGGCACCAGGAATGTGTGTGTTGAGGGCTGGTTGGTGAGACTCAGCAGTCACTTGCCGAGGTGCTGGTGGCAGAAGAGGACTGGTGCCCTTGGGATGGATGTGAACTGGGGGCAGCCAGTTGAGGCTGGGAGGAGGGTGGCTGGAGGGACAGGCTGATGGGTTCTTTCCTCCTGTTGGCCAGGCTGGGGTCCCCAGTGACTCCTTGAATCAATACAACTGGAGTCAGTAACTTAAGACTGGCTGTTTGCCAAAGCAGATGTGACCCTGTGTAGTGATGGGGGTGGGGGACCGGGTGGGGAATGGTTGGTGTCAGAGAGAGAGGCCAGTGCCAGGCATGGCCTGCCTGGTCTGCAGCTGAGTCCCCAAGCAGAGGGCAGGCCCCAGGGTCACTGTGGAGGGTCTGCTTGTCTGGCCTGGGGAAGGCTCCTTGCTTGACGGCTGGACCAGGGGCCGGAGCTAAGGAACCTGCTTCTCAGGAGAGGGGCCTTTGGTCATGGGTGCTGGAGCTTCAGGGTGCATCCCATTCTTGGTTCTTTTTGAAGTGAGGCCCAGGAGGGGCTGCTGGAGGGGGGGGTTGTCTTCTCCAAGGAGAGTGTGAGGGAGGGAGCCCGGCTGTGTGTCCCAGCTCCACCTCTGGGCCAGAGTTGGAGGCCCGCCTGGGGTAGGTCCAGAGGCAGCCCTCCGCAGGTGAGGGGCCTCCACGCCACTCTCCAGCCTTTGCTCCTTTGTCCCCTCTGGCATTTCCAGCTGGTTCATGTGCCCTTGGAATACATCTAAGAGTGGGATTATAAGGGGAGGGGTGTCCTTGAAACAGTGCACAAAAAATTGTGCCCAAATGTGCCATGTCTGAAAGAGAGTTCTCAGCAACCCACAGATTCAGAAAACCCTCTGACCCCTGAAAGGTAAAGAGGTAGTTCCCCAGGGGGTTCGGGTGAGGTTGGCAGCCCACAAACCCATTTACGTTTCAGGGGCAAAGTTTGTGTGGTCCTTAGTGGTAAAAATGAGGGGCAGCCCCTATGGGGGGAGTTGCTAGGAGTTGGGGGTCTGATCCCAGTGGAGGTGGTGCTGTGCGGACGCTGGAGAGTGGCTCCATGCGTGCAGCCTGTACCTAGACAGTGAGTTGGAGCGCCTTCAGTGCGAGGCCCACAGTGCACCCAGGGCCCACCCGCCTCCCTGAATGGTGGGCAGGACTCAGGGCTTGGCGATTTGGTAGGCTAGGCCTGGACCCCAGCTCCATCGATCGCTCCCTGCCCATGACTTCCTGTGGGTCTTAGTTTCATCCTTTGTGAAAGAAGTGGCCCTGGGGTTGGAATGATGCGAGACAGAGCTGCGTGACTTCTCATCCTCCCTGGAAAGTCGTCTGGGTGGAGAAAGGGGTCCCCCCATCCTGTCCTCCCCCACCTTGCTTTCCTGGGGGTCTGGTCCATCTCAGGAATAGTCTGCCCCCTGCCCCCAGATCTCAGCCTGGGTCAGGACAGGTTCCTCCCAGCCACGTTTCCATGAGCACATTGAATGCTAGACACTGTCCTCGCCCACCCCCAGGGTGCTGAGTCCCGCCCTCACTCGCAGCCACCCTGGGAAGCGGGAAGCTGGGAATTTAATAAGATCCCTTCATCCCTTCTCCCCAGGACTCGGGCACTGTGGATAGCTCCAATCGGAAGAATTTTAGAAATGTCCTCCGGAGCAGGTGGCGTGACCAGTAAATTGCTTTTCTGCACTTGGCTGAGCTGTGACAATGACACGGGCCGGGCCTTTCAGGAGGCTCAGCCGGCACCTGCCTGACATTGTTCCCACCGCCAGGCTCAGCTAGGTCCAGGCCTTCCCAGACAAGCCGGGCATGAGCAGGCCAGGGGTGGGGGGAGGGGGAAGGGGAGGCTTCCTCCAGTCCCCTGTCCCTCCTAGTGCCTTGTCCTTCCCACTCGGCCACTTCCTGTGCAAGAGGTGTTCTGGTTTGGAAGTTTCCTTCCATGTCCCTCTCTGTCTGACCACCTGCTACACCCAGCTTCCTCCATGGGCTTTGGACCCTTCCTTCAAGCTGGCTAGTATGGGGACAGTGTCCTTTGGGGCAAGAGGAGGATGGAAAACTGTCCTATTGGGTGGCACTTTTGTTTATTTATTTTGGGCACTTTCAATTTCTTAAAGATCATCATCTTCCATTTAGGCAGATTTTCATTCAACAGCTGCTTGGGGGGAGTCTGCTTCTTGCTGACCTGAGGATAAGCCCTAGAGGGCACCTGGCCCCAGAGCTCGGAGCCTGGCAGGGAGATGGCGAGGTCTCAGGAGTGTGTCCACCACCGCTCCCAGCTCTGTGGGGCAGGACGCATCTTCCTCCACCAAGAAGGTGCTCGTAAGAATTTCGCAGTGTCTGTGGCATCAGGCAGTTGCTTTCAATCCTCCAACCATTGTACAAGATGGTGGGTAGGAAGGAGTGACGTTCCTCCCACATGGACGGAGAAAGCGAGGCAGAGACGAGGAAGGGATTTGTTCAAGGCACGGCTGAGTCCCCGCCCTCTGGATGCAAGATCTTGTGTTCATGCCACTGTGCCAGGCTGACTTTTCCAGAGAATCCTGGCATTAATCAGAAGGAATCCTGGTGGCGAAACAGTCCCAGGAGGGTGCTGAGGGAGGCGATTCTGGGCTCGAGGTATTGGACCTGCCGCCCCTGAACTTGCTTCTCTGAGAGGGTCCTGGAGGTAGAGGTGGATGTTTTGTGGGGTGGGGCTGGGCATTCGCACCCTTCATCCAGCCTCCTTCCCAGGTGGAGGGGGAGGGAGAGAGGCAGGCACCTTGCCAGCATTCCTGATGTTCCAAAGTGTCACCTGCGTGGAGATAAGAGGTGGGTTTTAAAATTTTATTGTGGTTGGTTCAGCCAGTGCCAGCGGGCCTGGGCAGCATGTCAGGGTCTCCGTGTGCAGCCTGTATACCCTTCCTGAGCAGCTCTGTGAGTGCCCCGGGCCCCAGAAGGAGGCTGGAGGCGGGCAGGGAGGTCCATCCTCAGCAGGACTTAGTCCTCTAGCAGGAAAACCCTGGGTGTAGAAAATGGGGGTGCAGGCCTGTCAGGCTAACGCAGAAAGGGCAGAAGGCACCCATGTAGCCCTAGCAGGTTGGGTGTGCTCAGCGGAGGGCTCAGCATGTGCTAGGACTTCTCTCAGCGTCTGGGCAGAGCCTCCCCAGCTGTTGGAAGGAGGGAATTCTACGGGTAAGGACAAGAGGTTCAGGGCCACAGTCGGGCGCCTGCTCTGGAGCTGCCAGCCTGGCTCCAGTGGTAGCTCCGCCTTCTCTTTGCTGTGTGACCTGGTGCAAGTTACTTGACCTTCCTGGGTCTTAGCTTTTGCACACATAAAATGGGGGAAAACAAAACGAAAGCAAACACAAAAACAACCCTTACTTCCTGATGGGAGTGCTGGTGACAGACTCGTGTGTGCAGTCCCCATGCCTCTGGCCCTGGGAGGTTGCCTTGCCTGTCACCCTGTCAGCTCCTCGGCACTGGGAGGAGGGCATTGACTCTGGGCAAGGGCTGCTCCGAGGAGGAATGTCTGCTGGACCCAGGGCAGACACTGGGGGACCGGGGTGCCGAATCCCTCCCGCATGCCAGGGTGGGAGGCTGTCTGGCCTTGGCATGGGCTTTGGCCTCCTGTGGCACTTGGGGCCTGTGGGGTCTGTTCAGAGCACTAGCGGGAGGGGGGGCCACAGGCTCCAGTCAGGCTTGGTGGCAGCGCCTTGCTGACATCCAGGGGCCTCAGCTCAGACTCATTTAAAACACTGCTGTGTCAAGGACAGGGTCCAAAGCAAGCCTCCTGTGGGCCACCAAGCAGAAAGACTCCCGGGGCCATGCACCAGCCCTGGCTCTGTCACCGCCCATCCTGTCT